GCCGAGCCACTAAACGGGCTGAGATGGATCCACACCAAATTTGACTTATGTATTGCAATTTTTTTTACAACTTCATTTAATTTAATTTTTTTACAATTATGTACATACAAAAAAGATTTATTATTTGTTAAAAAAAATAAGACAATAACTTTATTAAAAGTACATTTAATAGAAAATAACTAGATTATTATTTGGATTTTAAAAACTGAAACTTGAAAAACAAAATCATTATTTTATATATAAATAAAATATTAAATTTTAATATTGTTCACTCGTTTTGATTAATATCCTGTGATGGCAGGGTAAAGTTCCCCATTGGCTTGACAACCATTGGTAGTCAACAAGTCAACTTTCTTTTGTGTGTGAGCATGCCACTACTAGCAGTTTAAAACCCTAGCAGACTTCTAAAAAATAGATAACTTGCGCCCCAAGTTACTAACTTTTGAACAATCAATTGTGAATTTGGGTGAGGAATATCTCCCAAGTAAGTTCTTTTCTTTGCCTCAGACTGGTGAGGACTTCATAATTTTTCACAGTACAAAATGGGTAGTTCTGGCCAGAATAGACAAAAAAGAAGACAAACTGTTTTAGGCAGAACTGCATGTTACTGGACTCAAAAATGAAATGACAACTCCGAAGCAAGACAACAGGATGTTGGACTTCGATTTCTGCCTGAATAACTGCCTCTAAACCGAGCTGGATTGGATGTGTCTGTACTGGATTGGATCGTCAACACCCTCAACTGATGAGTTTCAGCTGGAAATCGATACCAACGTTTGAGTTTGGCAAAACTTTAATTTATGTCAGGCCATGGAAGGCTTGCTGAACAGGCAGAATTGAGGCTTCTTCAGCTGAAGAGGGAAAAAGTGGCTGAATTGATGATCATTGAGCTAGAGTTGTGCTATGGTGCCTGTTATGTTTGACCAAGGCTTTCTGTAAATTTGTTGATGTTTTCATATTTGTTAAAAACCCAGACTCTACTTGACTTGGCTTTGTGCTGAATCAAATTTGTAACGAGAGAAATCTCGCTTTGTAAAATTGTTTCTCTGAATTGAACTGAAATCAGAAACTTGAATTCTAGCTAACTTGTTTCTTATGGCTCAATGAGCTTTGGTTGCTTCAGTGTTTGAAGGCTTCTGATATCAATGGATCTTTTTGAGTTTGTCAATTGTGACTTTGAGAGTTAATTTTGTCTTGATTGATTTTTTGGCTGTGTTCTATTTGTTCACCCTCTCTCTTATTTTATAGGAAATGCTGGAGCGGGGTTTTTAACCTTTGAATAATGGGCGGCAAATCCTTAAAAAGATCTTTCTTTTTAAATGTCATAGAAATGGAAAGTTATCTATTCTGGCAGAGAAGAACCATCAACAGTCAGTTCCCATGGTAGTCTTTTCCTTGCTTTTCCCAAAAAAATAAAATCAACTCATTTTGCTCTATGTTTGTTCCTTTGTAAAGAAGGAAAGACATAATCTGCCATGATGGTCAATTTGCTTTTTCTGTTTTGAACAACCCCCTTGCTTCCTACTTATCTTTTGAGAACGTAGTCTGCTTATCTCTTGGAAAGGTCACCTGCTTTGGTGCAAACTTTCTCCGTATAAAAAGGGATTTTGATCTTTTTTTGTTGCAGAAATTTGGAGAAGTCTTCCTTTTATACCTACCTTCATTAACTCTCTATCAACTTATCAACTCCTCTGTGATAGTTGAAATTTTTTACTTTTCAAAGTCAGGTAGTCACGTGGGGGCTTTCTGAGAAAAGATTTGCTGATTGTCTTTTTTTGGGGTAGAGATCAAATGGTGTGAAAAAAGGTTGTGTTAGTTTCTTTTAATTCTTTGTAGATAAAAAAAACCCAAATGTTTTGTTCATGGGCCTTATTGACAAAAATGGGCTGGGCGTGCCGAGAATAGGCTCAAACTCAAGATAAACTTTGGTGGCTGCTAAAAATTAACATGGGCTTTTCTAATTTTGGGCTGGGCGTGCCAAGTTAGACCCAAACAAATATATATATATATTTATTTATTTATTTAAAGAAATAAACTTGAATTTAAGATACAAATATAATAATATTATGTAAAAGAATATTTAACGTTTTTGAAGTTCTTCTTACAGAAGTACTTCCAAATAGTCTATTATGTTGCTAGATAAATACCTATTTTGTCAAAGTTTGAATTTAGACAACACATAAAAAAAAACACATTCAGCCAACTTAATCAATGATTCAAATTCATAATCTTTCTCTTGTCCACATCTTAAAACTCAAGCAGACAATTAGTTTCGTTTGTGCTATTGTGGCGCATAGTATTTTGGATGGCATATGTTATACAGTACATTTCTTTTTCGCCAAGTATGTAAGATTATTGTAAGAAATAATTTATCTTTTCTTTTTTCTTTTTTTTGGTTTTTTGGGTTTTTTTGGTAAGTACAGGAACATAACTTAGCAAGAGTAACAAAATTATGGTATCTTTGCTTTTCCCAATGTACATTGCATATCTCAGTAAAGTGTTCTTTATATATTTTTCTAGAAAGTGTTTTGACATGTATAGTGTTTTTAGAAAGTGTTGTTGGAATATATAGCAGCTTTTTTCTTTCCTTAAAAAACGATAAATAAATAAACCTGCCTTACCTTTTTTTTTTAAAAGGGCTTTATCAAACAAGTTAAAAGCACTTTATTATAATGAAAAACGAAAGCCACTAGTGGGTCAGTCAGCGGGTATCTTAAAAAGTGTTTTTTAGAGAAGCACTTAAGTATTTCTTTATGAAAAGAAATGTCCTGTTATAAATGTCTGAAGTCTAGCTCCTGCAGGCTGCAGTGCAGTGTACACCTGTGAGTAAGCGAAGTATGTACTTTCTTGCCGGTGCAGCTGTTCATTTTGTACGACTTCTGCTGAAATGCAACGTCACATGGATTCCAAATATTTTTCGGAGATGATATATTAACACCCAAGGTCTTAAATATCGATAGTTTCAGAAATATCGGTGGTTTAAAAACACGGAAATATTGATGGAAATATCGGGAAAATATCAATATAGATAAAAATTAGATAAAAACCATGAAAATTATGATAAATACATGTTAATGAAACTTTAGAAGAAGTTTATTTAGTCAATTATTTATTATTTTGACACAAAAAATTGGAAGGAAATACATTGCATAGTGGGTTTGTGTGATTTAAGTTGATTATATTGTGACCTGACAAACTCTGTGACTTAGAAAATCTGAAGTAATTAATGAAAGAGAATTAAACACCCCTTAGTAATTTATTTATCATTTTTTAGTACAATATTTTACACTTTATAAATTGCATGATAAGATACATGAGTAACCTTATTTCACGTTATTCACTGGACATGGTACACGTTGTTATATCTATTAATTTATCAAAAATTGAAAAATAATTAAAGATGTAAACCAACTTGATTTGTCATGAAAATTAGGCACTTTACCATGCTTAAAAAATAATAGTGAAGATTGAAAATTAACTAAGAATATAAATAAATTTATCCAATGAAGAATTAAATAGGAAATAAAGAAAATGATTATAGAAATTTAAGTAATTAAGCAATAATTTATTTCACATTATTCATTGGACATGATACACGTTCTTATATTTTTTTATTTATCAAAAATTGAAAAATAATTAAAGATGTAAACCAATTTGATTTTTTATGAAAATTAGGCACTTTACCATGCTTAAAAAATAATAGTGAAGACTAAAAATTAACTAAGAACATAAATAAATTTATCCAATGAAGAATTAAGTAGCAAATAATGAAAATGATTATAGAGATTTAAGTAATTAAGCAACAATTTGAAGGAAAATTTAGTAATGTAAGTACTTATAATGAATAATAAAATAATCAATAACATTAAATGGATTAAATAGAAAAGAAATAAATTATATTAAGTAATTAAGTAACTAATCAACAATATAAAACAATAAGTAATTATGTTAATTTCTATTTTGAGAAACAGCTTGCAAGTATTATAAATACTAGATTCCATAATTTATAATTATAAAGTGATGACTAGCATGATGGTTAAGTGACTACAAATCTTGGAATGTGGAGGGGGTTCGAACCCCTGTGTGCGTGCGTTTATAAATGGATTTTGGGTGTGTTTATAAAGTGTTTTGGGTGTTGGATTTTTTTATAATTTCAGCCCTCATTTTGGGTGTTTTAGTGAAACCTTTTTTTTTTATATTACAAAATCTTGCATAAATACAAGCCAATCTATCTCATATGTTAAGATCAAGGGTTAATTTTCTTTACAAAACAGAATAAATACAATCTTTGTTTGACAGTTTCATTATGAAACACCTAATATATTGCTCTATTGTCATTTATCCTGCATTTTATATTATCAAATTGCGAATTCTATAGTCATTTATTCGGTAGGAAGATGAAAGTTTCGTAAATTTACATATTTTCAATGATAATGGTCTCAATAATGCCGAACATAGAAAGAAAATTTTGTATTCACCTCTCAAAGTCCCTCTGGTATAGAAATTTATGATGAAATCAGCCAAATTTGTAGTTTATTAGAGAATAAGAACATGCAATTTAGGAATGAAACCTTCAAATTTGTGATTACGACAACATTTTTACTTGGCTGTGATGAGTTTAGCCTAATGGTGGTTGGATGAGTATAACTTGTAAAGTTCATGTAACAAAAAGATTAAAGCACGCTTATCAAACAGAAATTGACGTTGTGGTAATGCTTACCACCCCTAATTGGTGGTGGGCAAAAATGCTCTCAATTTGAACACGTTACATCTCCTATAAGCGTACACTGACATTTAAGAGAACACTGATTAGTATTTTGTCCACAAAGTAAAAGCGATTCCTGTAATAGCGGCAAAATGCTTTAAATTGCCTTCGAGGAAGTGACAAAGTGCCAAGAAAATGAGCACACAAATTATCGAGCAATGACATTGAGAAGATGAAAATGCCTTTTTATTCTTTCTTCGAGACAAAATATAAAGGGACCTTTCAGAAACGCATGTTCACAACAACAAAAAAATTATTAAAATCAGAAATGCATATAAACCATCCAACGAACACAATTTTGATTGTAATTATTTTTCTTGGGTAGGAAGATGCAGTATTCAGCAAAGAATACTTGTACCATAGCTTAAATGGGGTATCATGGCAACTAATGTACATTTTCTGAGGAGAGCAACTAAATGTACATTTTCGGATGAGAAACTCACGCATTGGCCATTTCAACGTCACCGCAATTATCACGTACTGAAAGTTATAAACTCAAATGACCATCAACAAAACAAAAATTACTGTGCTTGTCAAGTGACCGGTTACCAGATCTGGGTTGAAACATTTTGAGGCCTATAGCGTTGTCTTCACACCACCTGTCGAAAATCAATCCAGTTTTCATAAGCGAATGGGTAGCTTACTTGCACTAGTGAAATCAAGTAATATCATGCACACTACAAGGAAGCTTAGTTGTATCAGAATAGATGATATACTTCAATCCTTGGCAATCAAATACTTCTTCTTTGTCAATAAGAAATTTTTTAGGGAAAAGTTGCCAAGGGGATGCCATGCCAACAGTACACATGATGCAACTTAAAAAGGAAATAGGAAAGACAAATCTAAAAAAATGAAATGATAAAGAAAGAACCTTCTTCAACCAATCAAAGAATAAGAGTCTAATTTTTATGTCCAAGCAGAAATGTTCCACCTCATAAAGGGAAAGCTGTACAGTTTCTTCCTAAACATAACACCATAAGATGCACAAGGAGGCTCACTTCAATTCTTTTTAGTTTTATTCAGTCATTATTCTTGTTTTAAAACAGTCTACCACGTTATCTTGTCTTTACCTTATCTGGACCAAAATACCATAAATTCAAAATATAGCACCAAATTTCCAAATAACTAGGCAATGAATTAACTAAATAAAACACCATTTCTTCAACCTTCTTGCATATTCATTTACTCACAAACCCTCCCTCTAACAATCATATCAGCAATAGGTAAACCTTCTCTCGGGTGGCTGTCCATACAAAAGATTCCACCTACGGTGTTGCATTTGCTTTCTAAATTGCAATGCTAGGAAAACTAAAGTGGACCCTCCAATACAGCCACATAGAAAAATGTTAACATGCAACTGCTTACGATTGCAAAGCTCCATCCAACTTCATCCCCTCCATCCTCCTCT